ATCTCTATCCTAAATAAATACGAAGCAGCATCGGGACAGTTTATAAACTTGGAGAAATCAGCTATCACGTTCTCTGCAAAAACTCCAGGAGAGGCCAAGCTCAGGATCTGATCACAACTACAGATTCTCAATGAAGGAGGTATTGGAAAATATTTGGGACTGCCAGAGCATTTCGGCTGGAAAAAGAGAGACATCTTCGCCTCCCTAGTGGAACGCATTCGACAGAGATCACACAGCTGGACTTCGCGTTTTCTATCAGGAGCCGCGAAGTTAATTCTCCTAAAAACTAGATTACGGGCCATGCCTACATACTCAATGTCTTGGTTCAAGCTGCCTCTCTCCTTGTGCAAGCAGATTCAATCTGTTTTGACGAGATTCTGGTGGGATGTATCCCCGGAAGTTAGGAATATATGCTGGGTATCGTGGCAAAATTTGGCTAAGCCTGGAAACGCAGGAGGTTTGGGTTTTAGGGAAATTTCTCAATTCAACGATGCAATGCTTGCAAAACTCTCCTGGAGAATCCTTAAAAACCCTTCATCCTTGTTAGCACGCATATTTCTGGGAAAATATTGTGTTAACACTCCGTTCCTCAATGCTAAGAGTCCGACTAATGCCTCACATGGATGGCGAGGCGTGTTGATAGGACGTGATCTATTAACTAAAGGCTTAGGTTGGGCCATAGGCTCTGGTACAGAAGTTAATATTTGGGGTGAACCTTGGCTTTCTACGTCTAAACCAATGGCACCGATTGGCCCCCCAACAGCTGAAAACAAAGATTTGCACCTCTTTGACTTAATTCATGCAGGAACCAATGAGTGGGATATCGATGCTATCCGCAGGAGCGTCCCCCAGTATGAAGAGCTCATCAGGATTTTGCTTCCTGGTGCTCTTCCTGCATCTGACGATCGTGTCTGGCTCCCAAACGCAAATGGCGAATCCTCTACAAATCTGGCTACGATATTGCTAAAACTCTGCAATGGATCGCAGGAGGACTTAAGTTACAACTGGAAAAAATGTATTTGGCAAGTTGATACCTCTCCGAAGATTAGGCATTTCATGTGGAAGGCAAACAGTAATGCCTTACCAGTTGGCTCGGTGCTTGAGAGCAGAGGATTAGCAGCCAACTTAAAGTGCAAACGTTGTGGAGCTCAGGAAACAGAGATCCATGTTCTGTTGCAGTGCCCTTTTGCTGCTAAAGTTTGGGACCTGGTACCCTGCCTTTTTAAGTCCGTCGATACTGAAACCCCAATAGTTGCAAACCTTTTCCAACTTTGTAGGAGACTTGTTTCGCTACCTCCCACTGGCTTGGGAAGCATGCCTCTGTACCCATGGATACTGTGGGTTCTCTGGACAAACAGAAACAAATTTGTTTTTGAAAACAAGTCCTTTTCAGAGGCTGATACAGTCCTTAAGGCGATACACGATACTCGAGCTTGGAAGGCTACTCAGAATGATGTCAAAAAGCCTTCTATACCACAGTGTGTGGTCTGATATTCATGTCTTCTTGTTGTTGATCACTCGTGGGATCCGGGCGGTCCGGAGGGGACCACCACATAACTCTTATACTTGGTCTTCCTTTTCTGACGCAGCATGGGACTTCAAATGGAAATTGCGGGATGGGATGGCACCTCTGTGACGCTAACAACTCCATCATCGAAAGTTCCTTCTCTCACTGACGCTTTGTTCCTTCGGCTCTCGTGGCGGTAGCTTTGGCGGTTAAAGCTGCACTTGTGGCTGCAGTTTCTTCACACGTCAGTAGTATTAATATGTTCTCTGACTCCGAAAATCTCATATCTCTCCTGAAGTCTCAAGGGAAGGATGTGGTCCTGAAGGGTGTGCTTCATGACATTGTTATGTTGGCTCGATCCTTTACCTCTATCACTTTTAATTATGTTATGCGTTTAGCAAATGTACGGGCTGACTTATTGGAAAAAGCAGCTCTAGCTTCCATTGTTTCTCCTGCAACTCTTGTTGTTTGAACTTAAGCTTCTATGAAAGTATCAGTTTGCTCCAAAAAAAAAACCATTATATCGATGCGCGGGGTGTTTATTTTTGTTTATAGTTAGGTATATAAACATTTTGTTCACTTGTAAATTGGTATATATTATAGTAATAAATATTTACGATATGTATAGTAAATATTTTTCAAACATAATAATATTATTATATAATACGTGTTTTAATCAAATAGATTGTTTCAAATTTTCTATATTATACATGTTTTTCAAACATGTGTTTGTTTCTTCTTCTATATTTTATTGTTTGTTAGATTATTAGTATACTTTAATTTGCAAAGATAATATAAACTTCGAAGAAATTTTTGCTAAAAACTAAACTTATAGCTTCATAAATTAATTTTATAAAATATTTTAAGAAAAAGAATTTTTTAAACAATTTCTTTTTTTTAAACAATATAATTTTAAAAATTTTACATCGAAATAAATTTATCTAGTATATATAGTGTGTAAATTTTGTTAGGGTATATAAATATTCCATATTACTAATCTGTGGTTTTTGTTAATATATTGTGGATGCATTTAACTATTATTGACATATTTCCTTCTAAATAATAGAAGATTCCTAAACTTATATCTATTGATATATTTTGCGTGACTAAGTTGGAAAGTGTGGGGTAATTTACCAAAACCAAATTGTTAAGCATATCTTTGTTATTATAAATATGATTTTTCATAAGATATAATAATGATAAGATTATTAGAGAGTTAATGTAACATAACTTTCTGTAATAGTCCATTTTTAAAAAAAATCACACATGAAGTTAAGTCATGACTTCTGTTTTAATATATAAGATTTTACGGAAGTTATAAATATATAAAAAAATGATCAAACATTATTACTCTTTCTATAGTTTAAACAATTAGTTTCAACAATTAGCTAACATAAATAATTTTTTGTAATAAAAAGTGATATTAACAGTTTATAGAAATTATTTTTTATTTTAAAATATAATTAAAATAAATTAAAAATTAAAAACCATCGACCAATTAATTATAACAATTTTTATGTTTTTAAATCACTTAATATATACATAGTAGGATGAGTTTTTAAAATATATTTTATAAATTAATTTATAAGCTCTTATAGATGAGTTACAAAGTCTTATAATAATTAAAGTAGATAATAAGCCAAGATAAATAGTTTTAAATGTTTTTATAATTTTTATAAATAATTTATAAAGCATATAAGATAAATTTTATAAGACGTTAATAGTACTATAATAATTTATATAAAATATATTTCTTTATATAATAATATAAAATTATTATAATGATTAATATAAATTATGTGGTTTATTATTTTATGTGTTTTATAAATAAAAAATTGATATACATTATTACTCTTTCTATGAGTTTTACAATTAGTTACCATAAATCATTATTATGTAAATTATTTGGCAAGTGATATTAATGGTTATAAACTTATCTTTTTAAATCTAATTAAAGTAAATAAAAATTAAGAATCATCGACCAATCATATTATAACAATTTTGTAAGAGTTTTCCTACGACTAACATGTAAGCAAAAATCAACAAAGTGACTTTTCAATTAATATATAGTAAGATTTCCCCAAACTCTCTATAGAATTGATACCTAAGCAAAACTAATTAAGACGTTTTCATTTAATATAAAATTAAATTTCAAAATAGATTTTGTAAATTAATTTATAAGATGTATAAATGACCTAAAACCTCTTATAATAATTTAGAACATATGATAAGCCATTATAGATATTTTTGTAAATGTATTTATAAGTTTTATAAAGCATTGCCTGAACTTTATTAAACATTAATTATAATAATTTATATAAAAATATAACAATATATACAATTATAAGGCTTTATATAAGAAAATAAAACCATTATATCGATTTTTAATACATTATTTTATGTAAGTTATAAATATATATAAAAATGATCAAACATTATTACTCTTTCTATAGTTTAAATATTTAGTTTCAACAATTAGATAACACAAACAATTATTTGTAATAGAAAGTGGTATTAACAGTTTATATAAATTATTTCTTCTTTTTAAATTTTAAAATAAATTAAAAATTAAAAACCATCGACCAATTAATTATAGGTGAAATTGCAAAACTAACCTAAAATTTCATTTCAACGTTAAAGGTTTACCCCTTATTGAGTCAAATGCAAATTCAACCTAAAGGGGTTGTGAAGTTACTACTTAACCCTTGTGACCAAACAAAAAAACAGACAGTTTTTTTACGGTTCTGTCCTTTGAAAGTCTACACGTAATAGAGAGAAGTCTACACATTTGTAGACCTCCTTAGAAGTCTACTTTGTAGACGTATTCTATAGTCTACGTCGTCAGTTGATCTTATAATTTAATTTTAAAAATGTATAAAAATAATTTTTGGGAAGTTTTTAAATAAATCATCAATATAAAGATTAGTATGAAATATATAAATTAAAATTTAATATAAGTGAAAAATTTAATAGAATTTATATTGAATTAGTAACCATGTAAAAAAATAATGTGTTACGGTTTCCCAACAAAATGTTATAACATGCTTTGTCTTTTAGGGTTAGATTCATATATTAGGGTTAGATATTGATTTTAATTTTTTTTTTGACACACTAATGTTGAGACTTACTATAAAGTCTACTTACATTTAGGGTTTGCTAAAACAATAAAGAAAAAAAAAATCCGGAGCTATAGACTTACAGAAAAGTCTACACACTGATACCAAATTGACCTAACCGGATTTAACCAAGTTCGATTTTTAACTTAATCGAAAGTTAACCAAACCAATTTAACATAACCGAAAAAATTACACAGCCTATAAATACTTTTTTTAGGGATTTCTGGTTTAAAAAAAAAACAAATCAAGCCGTTTAGATCTGAGGTGATTTAGGGGATTTCCGGTGAGATTTCCGGCGAACCCTCTTCGACTTCGTTTTCACCGCTTAAACTCGATGCTTTCCACTCCGTCGCTCTGTATCTTCTCTCTGGTAAGTTATGGAGGACATTGACAGCATAGAGGAAGATGAGTATGGGTTCTCAAGAAACTATTTTCTGGCTAAAGAGTTGGGTGGGTCAAGCAAGAAGTCAGCGCGTAAGCTCTCTGATATTAATATTGTTGATGAACATGTGGGTGTTGTCTTTCGAAATATATGTTTGATGTGAAACCTTGCTTTCCTATGACAAGTTGATTGTGTCTCAGGAGCTTCGAGAAACTGCGTTTAATATTGAAACGAAGCATGAGAAAGAGATTTTTGAGCTTTTGGATGATTACAAGACTATGTACCCGAAGTGGGTGTTTGAACTCAGGTGAGAAGTCTCTTGCTTTCCTAGAAAACATTGATCTTAGAGAGAGAGCAAAACTGTGTGGAAAAATGTGACAAGGTTTAAATATATTTTTGGTGCTTCTGTAATTGTTGAAGACATTGATCGCTTCTGTTATTTGACCTTCTCATCTGGAAGTTAGGCTTCAATGTTCCATCAGAGTAACCATGTCTTTGTGTGTTCTCATTTCATTTTTGCTGATTCCAGGTGTGGCTTTGGGCTTCTAATGTACGGCGTTGGATCTAAAAAAGGTTTGAATGAAGACTTTGCATCTTCTTCTTTGACTGAGTATTTTGTTGTTGTCATCAATGGCTACCTTCCTTCAATAAATCTAAAACAGGCACTCTTTTCTAATTTTGGATGTAACTATTAGTTCTCTGACCATCTGGCTTTAAAGAAAATGATTTTAGGAATTAACAAAGTCATCTCTGGTTTGCAAATTCAGGTTCTTCTAGCAATAGCTGAACTTCTGTCTGAGCTGTTGAAATCTAGAAGAAAGAGTTCTGGGACTCCGACTAAAGGTCAAGAAGCATTCCCTTCATGCTCCATTGATGATATACTTCCCTTTCTACATGGCTCACAGTCTGAAGACAAAGACTGCTTCATATGCGTTGTTGTTCATAACATTGACGGCACTGCTCACCATTATCATATGATTAATTTTACAGTCCTATAATAGTTGTTTATGCTGTGACAACTGGTTTTACAGGTAGCAGATGGTCTTGTTTTAGAGAAAACCTCATCACCATTAGGAGTTCTCCTGATTGTTTTTGAGTCCAGACCTGATGCACTTGTACAGGTATGTTAAGGCTTAAGAGTCAGTGTCTTTTACTTTCTTAGGATGTGAAATTTCTGAGGCTGTGCTTTTGCTGATAAACCAAACAGAATGCTTCTTTTCAGGAAACCCTTCTAGTGCATAAGGATCTAGAGCAGAATGCTGTGTTCAATGAGCTTATATTCGCTCTCCAGAGCAATGGTAAGTCATAAATGGGTCCATTTAGATGCTTCATATACATGTACATAGCTTCAATATGAATGACTCATGAAACTGCAGGAGTCACTTTGTATGGTGGAACAAGGGCAAGTGCAATACTGAACATACCAGAAGCACGGACGTTCAAGCATGAGTACTGTTCAAAGTCTTGCACCGTTGAAGTTGTAGATGATGTCTATGGTGATATAGATCACATTCACGGACATGGAAGGTTAAAAACTCCACATAACAAACATTGACGCTTGTAATATTCTGCATTCTTGTGCTGGAAAATGCTCACTTGTAATCTTGTCTTGTACGCAGTGCACACACAGACTGCATTGTGACAGAAGATCCAGAAGTTGCAGAGCTATTCCTTCGCCAAGTACATAGGTAAAAAAAAGATAACAAGATCACACAAACTTGCTTAATCATCCAGACTTTGATTGTGTTGGTAACTACTTGGACAGTGCTGCTGTGTTTCACAACGCAAGCACAAGATTCTCTGATGGTTTTCGATTTGGACTTGGTGCTGAGGTGGGAATAAGCACAGGCAGGATCCATGCCCGTGGTCCTGTTGGAGTTGAAGGATTTCTTACAACAAAATGGTACAGTTTTGGTTTCATTTGAAGTTTTATTTTTAAATTGTTTATAGTCCTGAGACGATGTTTCATGTACTCATTGCAGTGTGGAATAAGAAAATGGTGCACAAACAGTTTAACTGGCTATGGCCCTACGTTCCAACATTTGCACCATACAAGGTCGAAGGTGTCTTCCTCCCACTGGTTCTTGCACGGAGAGCACAGCTCAAACCGCTAAAACAGCAGCCATTGTCTTACAGAGTCTAACACCAAACGCTCAGAACGTGTTCAAGATTATCGCTGACTACCAAATTTCTCACCCAGATGAAGACGGCATGTCCACTGAAGAACTGTATTCAGCCTCACGTGAACGCTTCTTTGTGAGCAGTCAAGTGACTCTCAACTCTCATCTCACGGAGTTTAAATATCACGAACTGGTTAAGACCAAGAGAAACTCCGATGGACAAGAGTGTTTGAACATACCTCTGTCTCCGGATGCACTGAAACAGCTCGTGCTTGATCTCAATCAGTAGCCTCACTTGTATCAAATTCTCTGTGGTATGATTCAACTTTGCTGCTTGAACAATATCTTATCTTATAGTCTAAGTGAGTATAATGGGTAACACATTGGATGGAAAGTTATAATCAGCACTCAAACACACATACTTAGTGTCGTCCACTGACACAAGATTGCAATGTAGTGAATCATCTCATTTAAACAGTGAAAAACGTCTATATATATCAAATGGCCACAACAATGAGATACGATGACAACTCCTATAAGCTTTCTATAAACGAGAACACTGTAACCGAAAATTATACTGTAGACTTACCAGTACGTCTACGATTATTAGCTAACAACATAGACAAACAAAAAATTTGATAACTTCCTAATTATAACAGATTATCTTCTGAAAATCATTCAAGACCCTTATGACTAACTAACACACACTTTCATAAACAAAAATTTTGAAAAAATTTAATGAATAATACACAAATCAACTTTTGATAGATTTTTTTAGCTAGACTATATATTTAGTCTACAAATGTGTAGACGTTTTATTCGGTTTAGATTTAGTAGACTGCAAATTAGATCTACGTTTAGGTTGGTTTTTGCGATTGCCAAATTCACGGCTTACTTTCTGTATTTGAAAAAAGATGTGATTTTATACGAGTAGACTTCTTTTTTAGTCTACATTTTTAAAAAGGTTAGTTTTGCAATTGACCAGAATTCGTTAAATGTTTGACTTTTAGAAGTAGACTTACTATGCAGTCTACATTTTTAAATTTCTTTGAAAAAAGTTAGTTTTGCAATTGACCAAAGTTGACTTTCTACTAGTAGACTAAACTAAATGTTTACGTAACTGTAGACTGCAGTAAAAGTCTACACTATAACCCGACAGGTTAATTTTGCAATTGACCAACATAAAATAGTAGACTTCATATGCAGTCTACTTTTTTCCTAAGATTTGTAGACTGCATATGAAGTCTACATGTAAAGTAAGTTTTGGTCAGTTTCTAAACATTTTAGTCAAATACAAAAGAAACCTATTCAACGAAGTCAAAGTTTTGGTCAAATGCAAAACTGACCTTTAGTAGACTTCCCTAGCAGTCTACAAAGTGTAGACTTCCAAGAAAATCTACTATGGTAAGTCAAAAGTTTGGTCAAATGCAAAACTAACCTCTTTTATGTAGATTTCTTAGTAAGTCTACCATTTTTTTTGTTTTTGGTTTCAAAGGTAAAGACGTTGACGTACTTGTAGGGCTACATTACAAAAAAAATTATTTTGGTCAATTGCAAACGTAACTTGTGCGTTGACAAGTATACTGCATTGTAAGTCTACACGTAAGTTGATAAGGGTTTTTTAAGCCTTAAAGCAAATCAATGTAGTACGGTAAGTAGAGTGTCAATCCAATCCTGAGAGCTATTGAACAAAGAGAATGCAAGACATTGCTTAATCTAAATGCAATCAATGAGGGTTTGTTTTATAAGTAACTAGTAACAAGCAATATGTAAACAAGAATAACTAAGCTTTGGTTTCAATGAGATAAAAGAGCATATGGATAAGGGTATTGACTTTGGGTGATCAAGTTNGCAATCAATGAGGGTTTGTTTTATAAGTAACTAGTAACAAGCAATATGTAAACAAGAATAACTAAGCTTTGGTTTCAATGAGATAAAAGAGCATATGGATAAGGGTATTGACTTTGGGTGATCAAGTTACTATCTAGGGTGAGGTTTCAAGCAATCATTCATATCCTATAGGTCTAGAAACAATTCTAAGCTAGTCCTTGGTCAAGGTAAAAGCTCATTTGCTATCAATCTTTAAACACAAATGGTCATTGGTCTAAATCAATCAAGCAATCATTGAGAACAAGTCTACTAACCATCTAAGCATTCCTAACATGAAGTATCCTTGGTTAAGCAAGCAAAAAGCATTATTACTTTGGTTCAGGCATTTCATTATACACCTTGTGGGCAGGAAATGCCTAATGATCTAGTTTAGAAGGATTAGGTCTAATCTAGCATTGGGAATAAGTAATAAGCATAGGACAAGAAGGATCTAACACTAATCACCATAGATCATCACTTAATCACCCTAATCACCCTAACCCATAAGCTCAAAGAGAGTCTACTCACTAATCTTCATGTTTAATCTTAAACTCATGATGGATAGAAGACTAATCGTGATTAGAAGAAAAAATAGACTCAAATTACTCAAGAAACAAAGATTATATTAATCAAGGATTCAACTTTTCAATGTGTTTTTGAGAGAAAAGAAGATAAGATCCCCAAAATAAGGTTTAAGGGTATTTATAGCAAAATAAAATCGAACTGGGCCAACCCAACAAACCTGAGATGGCCCAAACAAAAGAGATAAAAGGTCTGGTCAAGCTCGAATTCTTGACTTTTTTGACGCTCACAGCGGCCTATGGAGGCCGCTGCATCATGCCGATATCAAACAGGGACTTTGGCTAATTTAATTCCCGAAATTCACCTTTGGCCGCTGCCAAAAACCGCTCCCGTAAGCCGCTGGCACACTTAGTCTCTGGGGGTTTCCATCTCCAGCGGCTTCTCGACATTGTTTCTAAGCCGATGTGATGTCTCTAGGCCGCTGGTTTACTCGAGTAGTGATATATGTCTAGTAAATTAGCCATAACTCTTAACATACAACTCTGATTGACCTGAGACCACTTCCATTGGAAAGCTTACTCAACTTCCTATCTCTTCCCAGAATCTTAGCAACAGAAGACATCTTTAAGACCTCAATCCATGTTCATATTTCACCCCCTTTTGGATCACAATGCTCTCAAACACCTCCAATCACTCCATGGCACACTCCGACACCTAATAAGGACATAGAATGCAATATGGACCTAAATATATCTAAACCCTAATCTATATGATAATTTATGTACAAAATGAAATGCTAAAACAATGAAAATATACAAGATATCAACTCCCCCAAACTACTCATTTACTTGTCCTCAAGTAATTAATTAAAATCAAAGAGTGAGAGAATGAAAATAGAAACTCAAAAACCAAAGGATACACTTCTTATACTCAACACCACATCCTAGACAAACATAACCTATAGCATAAACAATCTCAATTAGTACACTCTAGCTTCTCAAGGCCTATCAAGACTCATTGCTATAAAACAATTTGTGGATCACCAATCAACAATTCTCTTCAACCAACCCTCACATTCAATTAAGCATAAGCTAATAAGGTGAATTCTTGCAAATAGAAACTTGATCTCAATCATTTGGTTTGGTAAGTGAAATGGCTAAATGATATTAGAAGAGGGGTTTCAATACATTTCTTTTTTAGTGGCTTACACTCAATAATAGGAGCTTGATCATTATGCAAAATCGATCTAAGAAAAGGAGCAACTTATGCATACATTGCTTATTCTTATCAATCTACCATTTCCTAGCCAACTTTAAACTCTACCATTTTCCTTGGTGTAAATCTCAAACCCATTAATCCTCAAAAACATTAAGACCACTCTCTTATTTCACTCACCCAATGAACTCTTTCTCTTTTCTTATATTTTCAACAACCTAGGGACTTTTTCTTTCTCTTTTTACTTAAACTCTACTCTTATTTTTCTTATGTCTTCCCCAAAGTCTTTTCTATACTCTTTTCTTTCTGTCTTTTCTTTGTCTAAGGGGTTTCTTATTTGAACTTTCTAGAGCTTTTTTTTTCTTTTGATCCCTAGTGGTTTTTCTTTTCTTTTCCTTTCTTTGGTTAATTCTTTTCACTCATATAACACCCCAAGACCCAAGATAAACTCTTTTGCATCTCAATACCAAACTTCCCATCCTAATTGCTAGCTCTCAAGAGGTCCTATAGCTAGCTTAAGATAAGAACAACCAATGTCGCCCCTAATACTCTCAAATTTTTGCACATGACAAGCTCTCAAAAGAGGCCTCACACAAGCAAAATGATTTAGGCATCAAAGAATGGTAAGGGTTTAAAGGTGTGGGAGTGCCATTTGGGTTTTATAAAGAGCGGTAGAAAGGATAAGTAAAACCCAAATGTGTATAATCCATGACCAAGCATGCAAGAGTTCATATGCAAGAAGAATTAAGTTCATCCAGATTTAAGTTCATTTGGAGTTGGTTTAAAGGAGAATGTCAATCTCACACAAGCAACAAGTTTCAAGAACAGTTTTCAAGGCTCAAAGCATGCAAGCTTTTCAAGAGATGCTTAAGCTACTTGCTATGATCAGCTAGGGTGAAGTTTTGAGTTCTAAGCATGTGTTTCCTTATTAGGTCAGCTCCAAATGCATGAATGCAATCTAAATGCTTCTAGACTCAATCCTAAAGATGCAAATGATGCAACCCAAATGGTTGTTTTTGTTTCTTTTTAGAAATTGTTTTTTTTTTTTTTGGATTTTTCTATGCATATATGTATGTACAATGCAATGCATGAGACTCAAAATCAACAAAGAAAACATGATCAAATACTTGATACCTCCCCCCAAACTTAAATCACACAGTCTCTGTGTGAGTAAGGGAGAAGGAGATACCAAAAATATGATAAAAGCAATGGTATATACAAAGAATGGTTGGAGTGATACCTCAAATGGGAAGGAGAAGTGTTGTGGATGTTGGTGTTTGGGCATGACATTTGGGCATATTAAGGAGACCCCCAAACTTTTTCCTGACCTTATTCAACTCACTAAAAGCACAAATATATACAAGGATAATCATGGGACTTCCTCCCAAGTGAGCTTGTTTAAAGTCTCTTAGCTCGACTACCTTTGTGTACCTATTGAGAAGGAGGATCCTTCCCACCTTCAAGGGTGATGGTTAGGACATGTGTAAGGAACTTTGGAGCTTGAGTGGATCAGCTTGTAGTTGAGGAGAGATAATGGCCCTGGCCCTGGAGAATGGCTTGGACCTTCCCTTACACTTGATCTTTTACTCAATGGCTCCATCCTTTAGTTGTTGTGGTGAAGAGTGAGAGTGTGTGGCATAGGTGGGGAGTGAGGAGCTTTCATCTTCTTCTTGCTTTGAGTGG